CGTTTACGTTTACGTTTAGTTTAGTTACGTACGTACGTACGTACGTACGTACGTTACTACTACGTACGTACGTCGTCGTACTCGTCTCGTCTCTCCTCTCTCTCTCTCTCTCTCTCTCTCTCTCTCTCTCTCTCTCTCTCTCTCTCTCTCTCTCTCTCTTTCTTTCCCTCTCTCTAGAGCTGGGAAAGAATTCTCGCCTGAGGGAATTAGAGGAAACATGAATCTTACAGGGCAATGGATCTGGCGCTAATTGTGTAGAAGCCGCAGAATTTGGAAGGGTTGATTCTGCGGCATTGGCATTGCATTGATCAGATTACTCTCTCTCTCTCTATCTCCTATTCGAATTTGGATCTGGTTCATTTTTCTTACACAGTTTGATGCTACGCGATTTTTATTTGTTTTCATTACCCGTTACATTAAAGTTTAAGAATTAATCTCTAAATTCCCTTATTAAGTAATTTACGGGATGTCTTACCTATAATTGTGTTGGATCTTGGCTGCAATCCATGGCATTTCATTGTTTTAGGGATATAAAGTAGTAGGATTTTTTTACATTGCCCTCGAGCATGTTGAATTTTACTAGTAATTGGCTAGCCCCTGTGGTATGAGATGAAAAAGAGAATTTGTTATGTTGTTGTATGGGGAACTGATCAAGAAATTATGGTGTTTGTGAATGTTTCATTAAGATGACTGATTTCTTTCCTTGACTTGCATTGCAGGATTTGGTGGAGATATTCGTAGTGGAAAACTGGTGCAAATGACAAAATCTCAAAAACCTGAAGCACAAGAATCTAAATTTGTGCAGACATCTCGACCAAGGTAATTGGTCATCTCTTGGAATTTTATTTTTCTGTATTCTTTTTAATGCATTTTGGCTTATTCTTTTTGTTTTTTATTGGCCATTTGGTGTATGAGTGATGGTTTATTTTGCGAGATGACTTTCGGATTTTATATTTTTCAGTCTTTATTTCTTGGAAATTTTACATTTTGCAGTCTTTATTTCTTGGAAATTTGTTTAATTCAAAACACTTTCCATGTTATTTTAGTTAATAGACATTAGGTCAAAGAAAACTAATGTTTCTGAAACTCTTGTCTTTTCCCTTTCACATTCTACTGATTCATCTGATCTATTTTGGGAAAATGCTAGGCAGCTTCAATGACAATTTACTGCCTTTTAGATGATGTCACTTCTTGTTCTTGGACATTCTCACAGTAATAGCACTTACCTTGGAAACCCATGATTTTTTACACTAGGGAATTAAATGGAGCACAAGGAATGGAGCACCCTGACGAGACTATGGCCACCGTCGCCCAATTCATCGAGCACTTGCACACGAATATGTCCTCACCACACGAAAAAGAGTTGATCACCGCGCGTCTGTTAGGCCTAGCCAGGTCGAGAAAAGATGCAAGAGCTGCCATTGGATCCCACTCTCAAGCTATGCCTTTATTCATTGCAGTGCTCCGGAGTGGAACATCAGTGGCCAAAGTGAATGTCGCTTCCACTTTGAGTGCTCTATGCAAAGAGGATGACTTGCGCCTAAAGGTTCTCCTTGGAGGATGTATACCCCCTTTGCTCGCACTGCTCAAGTCAGGTGCCTCTGAAGCCAGGAAAGCAGCCGCCGAGGCCATATTTGAAGTATCCTCCGGTGGGCTGTCAGATGATCATGTGGGGATGAAGATTTTTGTCACTGAAGGGGTGGTACCGACTCTATGGGATCAACTCAACCCCAAAATCAAGCAGGACAAAGTCGTTGAGGGCTTTGTTACTGGGGCATTGAGGAATTTGTGTGGAGACAAGGATGGCTATTGGCGAGCCACCTTGGAGGCTGGAGGGGTAGAAATCATAGTGGCTCTTCTTTCTTCTGATAATTCAGCTGCTCAAGCAAATGCGGCTTCACTACTGGCTAGATTGATGTTGGCTTTCGGAGATAGCATCCCAAAAGTTATACAGGCTGGTGCTATCGGGCCTTTGCTTCGACTTCTTGGTAGCAATAATGAAATCTCAGTTCGTGCAAGTGCAGCCGATGCTTTGGAGGCCCTCTCATCCAAGTCAGCTAGTGCTAAGAAAGCTGTGGTTGATGCAGAGGGCATACCCATTCTCATTGGAGCAGTCGTAGCCCCTTCTAAAGAATGTATGCAAGGGGAGTCCGGTCAGGCTCTTCAAGAGCATGCTATTCATGCTTTGGCTAATATTTGTGGGGGGATGCCTGCTTTGATAATTCGCCTTGGAGAGATGTCCAAGTCCTCTAGATTGGCAGCCCCAGTGGCTGATATCATAGGGGCACTTGCTTACTCATTGATGGTTTTTGATCATAAAGCTTTGGGTGTTGAAGAAGCATCCTCTTCCTTTGATGCCTTGCAGATCGAGAGTCTTTTGGTTAAACAATTGAAGCCTCGTGACTCTAAGCTGGTTCAAGAGCGTGTCTTTGAGGCTCTTGCGAGCCTCTATAGCAACACTTACCTCTCAAGAGGCCTCAGCCATGCGGAAGCAAAGAGGATGCTCATCGGTCTGATCACCATGGCAACCAGTGATGTGCAAGAAGAACTCATACATGTGTTCGTGAGCTTGTGCTCCGGAGACATGGGTATATGGGAGGCTCTTGGAAAGAGAGAGGGGATTCAGTTGCTGATATCTTTGCTTGGACTATCGAGCGAACAGCAGCAAGAATATGCAGTAGCATTGCTTTCGATCTTGACTGTTCAAGTTGATGATAGCAAGTGGGCTATAACAGCAGCAGGTGGCATACCCCCATTAGTACAGTTACTGGAAACTGGGTCTCAGAAAGCAAGGGAAGAAGCAGCTCTTGTTTTATGGAACCTTTGTCGCCACAGTGAAGATATACGTGCATGTGTTGAAAGTGCAGGAGCAGTCAGTGCACTTTTATGGCTCCTCAAGAGCAGTGGTCCTAAAGGGCAAGAGGCCTCTTCAATGGCACTCACAAAGCTTATTTGTTATGCTGATTCTGCCACCGTAAACCAATTGTTAGCATTGCTACTTGGAGATTCTCCAAGCTCAAAAGCTCATGTGATTACAGTGTTGGGGCATGTTCTTACTGTGGCCTCCCACAAGGAACTGGTTCAAAAAGGAGCTCCTGCCAATCGAGGTCTCAGGACTCTTGTTCAGGTTCTCAACTCCTCAAATGAGGAGACCCAAGAGCATGCAGCTTCTGTTCTCGCCGACTTGTTCAGTGCTAGGCAAGATATTTGTGGTAGTTTGGCAACCGATGAGATCGTTAACCCATGCATCAAACTCTTGACCAGCAAAACTCAGGTCATTGCGACTCAGTCTGCTAGGGCTTTAGGTGCTCTTTCTCGTCCTACCAAGGCCACCAACAACAAAATGTCCTATATTGCAGAAGGGGATGTTTATCCATTGATCAAGCTGGCCAAAACATCTTCTATTGATGCTGCTGAAACTGCAGTGGCTACCCTGGCCAACCTTCTCTCAGATCCACAGATAGCCGGAGAAGCCATTGCAGAGGACATTGTTTCAGCGCTGATAAGAGTTTTGAGAGAAGGAACATTGGAAGGAAAGAGGAGCTCTTCTCGAGCTCTTCATCAATTGCTGAACCATTTTCCAATTGGTGATGTGCTTGTTGACAGTGCTCAATGCCGATTTACCATTCTTGCCCTAGTTGATTTTTTGGCTTCAACAAACATGGAGGGAATCGATTCATCAGATGCCCTAGACGTGCTTGCTTTATTGGTCAGAACAAAACAGAGTGTGAACTTCACCTACCCTCCATGGGCTGCACTTGCTGAAGTCCCATCGAGCATTGAACCTTTGGTTCATTGCTTGTCTATTGGGCTCCCTCCTGTTCAAGACAAGGCAATTCAAATTATTTCAAGGTTGTGTCGTGACCAACCTGTTGTTCTTGGTGACCTTCTAGTTGGGAAAATACAGTGCATATATGCTCTTGCAGAGCGAATTATAAACTCATCCAGCATAGAATTGAGAGTTGGGGGTGCTGCACTTCTCATTTGTGCCGCAAAAGAGCACAAACAGCAGTCAATGGATGCGCTCGATGGGTCAGGGTCCTTTAAGCATCTTATCCAATCCCTTGTTGATATGCTAAAGCATCATACACGTTCCAAGTTCTCAGGTCTAAGAGACGAAGGGATTGAAGTGCGAACTCCCCAGGGCTTTATGGAGAGAAATGCTTATTTTCAGGATGGTGATGAATTCGAGGTTCCAGATCCAGCAATTGTTTTAGGAGGTACAGTTGCTCTTTGGTTACTGTCGATCATTTCATCCTTTCACAAGAAAAACAAATTGTACGTTATGGAAGTGGGAGGAGTTGAGGTTCTATCTGATAAGCTCGTGAGTTATACCATGAACCCTCAGGTATGACCATCAAGTTGTTCTTTTTGTTTGCTATGCTTGACCAGCCCTTTAATTCTTCTCCTGTCATTATAATGGTCTATCATAGTCAATGACCAACCAATGTGGAGTTGCTCTTTAGCAGTAAAACTCATGCCCATGCTTTAGTGAATTGTATTTTATAGGCATTCATTCAAGATTGTCGACATTTAATTTTTCTAATGCCTCTTTTTACTTCTTTTGGACCACATTTTTTGCCTTTTGTATGTTATGGAACAGCTGAAAAAAGGACTTATGATTTTTTCACTTTTATATTATTGAAAGAAAAAGCCCTGGAGAATTTTGGTTCATGCATTTCAGATCCTGAGTATTTTGGTTATATGTGTCTCTTAGTAGTTCAAATATTTTTTGGTGGAAAAACTAGTTGTTGGAATCACCTGGGATTCTGATTCGCTTCAGATTTCAGAATCGCTGTCAAAAGTTCAAATATGTCAAAAGTTCATTAAGGCTTTTTGGCTCTCACAACATCACAGTCCTGAAACCCAAACCATGGGTATTTAAGCTTGCATTAATGTGTAATATGATACGAAAGGATTCTTGTAACTCTTTTGGTAACATAGAATGGGCTCTTGGAGCTCCTCTAGCAACATACAATTTGTGAACGTATTCCATTCGACATTGGTATTTGAATCTTGTTTCCGTGTCATTAGCACTTGATTCGATGTTGATTGAAATGTTGTTTAGTGCATCTACAAACCACGCCTTTTGATGATACGGATCTAGCTTCCAAACAACATGGATTCTTGATTCCTAAAAAATTAGAGTCAATGTTGTGCATATGTTGAATCACGTTGTTGTGCAACTATGAACCACAAATTTTGGGATATAAAAACTAGATTCCAAAAGCTTCTAGAATCATCATCATCATCGTCAAAGCTTTTTCCCAACTAATTGAGGTCAACTACACAAACCCGATTCGCTATTCTGTTCTATTAAGCGCCATACCCTCAGTAAGGTCATAATTCCCTATATCTTTTCTTACAACTTCCAACTATGCTCTTTTGGGCCTACCCCTTGCGCTTTTTGAGCATTTCACTTCAACTAACTCGCGCCTCCTAACAGGTGTTGTATTGGGCCTGTGCCACACACATGGCCAGTCCACCTAAGTCTACTCTCTCTCATCTTATCATCTATTGGTGCCACACCTAAATTCCGAAACCTATTCATTTCGAATTCTATCCCTTCTTGCCTTGCCACTCATCCATCTCAACATCCTCATCCCGCTACACATTGTACATGTATATTTTTTTTGCCCGCCCAACATTCCAAGCTTCTTGGAATCGAGATTCAAATAATAATCTAGAATGCGTTTCGAGAAACTTGGCTATGTAATTCCTATCTTCCAGAATTGTGTTTAATCTTGGGAACCGTGGAATCACGATTCCGAACAGAAATCGCAACCTCAGTACACGATTTAGGTAAAAAACAATGAAATTTGTGGACAAATTACACAAGTTTTGTGTAATGGTCTTGAATCATGATCAAGAAGAATCTGGAATGAAGTTTGTATTAACAGTCTAGGGTCAATGGATATTATATTACAGTATAAAGGGAAATTAATTACCCAAAAACACGAGTAATTAATTACCAAAAAACATGAGTATGTTATCTAGAAATAAATGCCAGCTAGATTGGTGTCACTATGGTAATGGCTATGCACATCCTCTGAGTGATTGTGCTTTCTTAGCAAACTCTTGTGTGACTTATTAGTCTGTTATGTCCTATTAGTGCTCTACACGATTTACCACTGTCAACCCAGCTATTTCTTTGGAATTGAAATTCTGTGTGTGGGTTTGGGTATCTGGTTTGAATGGTTGGGGGGATGACAATTGCAGTGCCAATTTCCCAGATTCGGTTCCCACTGCTAACCTACAAAGAAAATAAATTATGTGGTCTGCCAAAGGTATTAGTGCCTCTCCTCTATACGGGCATGCGACGATATGGAGCATATCCAATGTTATAATTTTGGTTTTGGCATTAATTATAAACAGCCATCTTTTCACTGATAGCTTTCTTAGAACTCATATTTTTCTGAGAGTTTACAGCAAATACTACAAAATGCACAGTAGTTTTTTCTTTGTTCTAATTTCTGCTCAGGTGGGAAGTGGTAGATGAAGTCTATCGCATCACGAAGACTCCTTTGCATATAAATTCCCATTTGGGGCACACCTGCACATGGATGAGCACACACATACAGAGACACACACACACACACACATAAGAAAGCAGAAGGGGGAGGCTGACATGCGCCTCTGGAGGAATGGGAGAGCTCTTCTGCTATTGCCAAAGTTCAACTAAAGAGACCTTGGTAGAAGCTTCCTCTGAAAATGATCACTTTCATACAAAGGATAAGATGGTGAAAATGATCACTTCCATACAAAGGATAAAATGGAATGCGTCAAATAATAATCTGTTTATTGCCCATACATGTCAAGCTGAACAGGTTTGACCAAAACCAGTCAATAATCGCATAGATCTACTGAACTAACAAAAGTATGCGACATGCTCTAATTCTTGCCTAGGTGAACCATTGCTTATAGTGATATTCGAGGTTGCACTACAATGGATTGGAACTAGACCCATGTTTGGTTTTTTCTATCTCAATCTCAAAGTTTGCCTAAAATATACCAAATTGGAGTCTAAATGGTTCCTCCATAGGTGCCAATTCAATTCATACAGCTCCTCTCCACTCTATATCCTTGGGCAGTTCGCTCAGCAAAATTTTTTAGTTCTCCATTTGCATCCATTAGAGGCCATAACATCATTCATGTTTGCAAACTTAATGGTTAGAAGTCACTGTTTTGAGCCCACACTTCATGCAAACTCAAGGTTTCTAAGTTTAACAGAAACATGTAAAATAGCCTATATTTCTTTATTTACTTGTTTGTCCATTTTCTTCCTTTCTGTTATGTCAAATGCACACAATCTCACCATGAATAAATTATTTCTTAACAAAATATTCTGTTAGCTTGCTGGGCCTTAAAAACTCATATTGAGGTTATCGTGATTAACAGGCAGAGTTTGAGGACAGCGAAGGTTTATGGATCAGTGCCTTGCTACTGGCTATCTTATTCCAGGATGCCAATGTTGTTTCAGCCCCTGCTACCATGCGAATAATACCTTCTCTTGCTTCTTTACTCAGGTCAGATGAGGTTATTGATAGATATTTTGCTGCCCAAGCCATGGCTAGCCTTGTTTGCAATGGAAATAAAGGAATACTTCTCACAGTTGCGAATTCAGGTGCAGTAGGAGGTTTAATATCTCTGATTGGTACTGTTGAAAATGACCTGCCAAACCTAGTGGCATTGTCCGAAGAATTTTGTCTGGTCAGGAACCCCGACCAAGTTGTTCTTGAACGCCTTTTTGAAATGGAGGATGTTAGAGTGGGAGCAACTGCTCGTAAGTCTATACCTCCATTAGTGGAGCTTCTAAAGCCAATTCCAGATAGGCCTGGTGCCCCTCCCATTGCAGTTCGGCTCTTGACTCGGATTGCAGAGGGAAGTGATGCAAATAAAATAATAATGGCTGAAGCTGGGGCCTTAGAAGCCCTAGCTAAGTATCTATCACTCAGTCCCCAAGATTCAACTGAAACCACTATTTCAGACTTAATGGGAATCCTATTTAGCAATTCTGAACTTCTTCGTCATGAAGCATCTGTTAGTTCTCTGAACCAACTCATAGCTGTTTTGCGTTTGGGTTCAAGAAGTGCAAGATATAGCGCAGCTAGGGCTCTGCAAGAACTATTTGATGCTGAGAATATCAGAGACACTGAGATAGCGAAACAAGCCATTCAGCCTTTGGTTGACATGCTTAATGCAGGATCTGAGGGAGAGCAACATGCTGCTCTTGCAGCTCTCATTAAGTTATCTGTTGAAAATACTTCAAAAGCATTGGCTATAAGTGAAGTGGAAGAGAATCCTCTTGAGAACCTTCACAGGATTTTGTCGTGTCCCTATTCTTCCTTGGAATTAAAGAAGGATGCTGCACAACTCTGCTTCGTACTTTTTGGGATCTCTAAAATGAGGTCGATGCCGATTGCTTCTGAGTGCATTCCCTCTCTGATCTCTCTTATGGAATCAGGTATAAACACGGTTGTGGAATCTAGTGTGAATGCTTTCGATAGATTGTTGGATGATGAACACCACGCTGAGATTGCTGCCACATATGAAGTTGTGGTTCTTCTCGTTGGATTGGTTTCTGGGTCCAACTATTCACTCTCTGAAGCTGCGATCAGTGCCCTTATAAAATTGGGAAAAGATCGCCCCCATTGCAAGCTTGACATGGTTAAAGCTGGGATTATCGATAACACACTTGAAATGATCCCAGAGGCACCTAGCTCTCTATGTTGTTCAATTGCTGAGTTGCTTCGAATCTTGACTAATAATAGTGGCATTGCAAAAAGCTCCGCTTCTGCTAAAATGGTGGAACCACTTTTTATGGTATTACTACGTCCAGACTTTAGCATGTGGGGACAACATAGTGCCTTGCAAGCTCTTGTAAATATTTTGGAGAAACCCCAAAGCCTTACAACCTTGAAGCTCACTCCTAACCAGGTCATTGAACCATTGATAACATTTCTTGAGTCCCCATCACAAGCAATTCAACAGCTTGGCACTGAACTTCTGTCGCATCTTCTCGCTCAAGACCATTTTCAAAGGGATATTACGACTCAAAATGCGGTTGTGCCTCTAGTTCAGCTTGCAGGAATTGGTATCTTGAGCTTGCAACAAACGGCAATAAAAGCCCTGGAGAGCATTTCAACAAGTTGGCCTAGTGCAGTGGCCGATGCAGGAGGGGTATATGAACTCTCTAAGGTGATTGTTCAAGAAGACCCTCAACCACCCCACGCTTTATGGGAATCAGCCGCATTGGTTCTCTCAAATGTGCTGAGGTGTAACTCTCAGTACTATTTTAAAGTTCCTCTTGTTGTTCTTGTGAGATTGCTGCATTCAACACTGGAAGGAACAATCATGGTAGCTCTCAATGCGCTAATTGTTCAAGAGAGGAGTGATGCTTCAAGCGCAGAACTGATAGCTGAGGCTGGTGGTATTGATGCTCTTATAGAGCTTCTAAGGTCCCATCAATGTGAAGAAGCAGCAGGGAGGTTACTTGAAGCTCTGTTTAATAATGTAAGGGTTCGAGAAATGAAAGTATCGAAGTATGCTATAGCTCCTTTGTCACAATATCTTCTAGATCCACAGACCAGATCACAGCCTGCTAGGCTATTGGCAGCTCTTGCGCTTGGTGATCTTTTCCAGCATGAGGGGTTAGCAAGAGCAAGTGATGCAGTCTCTGCTTGCCGTGCCCTCGTAAGCTTGCTAGAAGATCAGCCGACGGAGGAGATGAAAATGGTGGCCATATGTGCTTTGCAAAACCTAGTTATGCACAGTAGGTCAAATAGGCGTGCTGTTGCAGAAGCTGGAGGTATCTTGGTAATCCAAGAACTTCTTCTTTCTACAAATTCAGAAGTTTCTGGGCAGGCAGCTTTGCTGATTAAGTTTCTTTTTTCAAACCACACTCTTCAAGAATATGTATCAAACGAGCTCATAAGGTCTCTAACCGGTAAGAATAATCTAAACTGAAATTTCTGGTCTCATGAATTTCTATGCAGTTCCTGGCCATGGTTTATTAAATTTCTGTGGGAACTTGTAGGAATAAATATTATGAAATTGACTTAATTTGGTATATAGTTTATTTATAAAAAAAAATTGATTTTGTGTATGAAGAAACAAAACTCTTAGTTGAACTCATTTGAAGATTTTGCTGCCTTTATTTGATTGATTGCAGTCATGACGTTAATAAAGATTAGCATCGTCCCTTTCTGTTCCTAGTGGCTCCTCGTTAAGGAGCGTGGCGGATTGGAGCCTACCTACTGCTAAGTGCATTTCTACTTCGAAAATTTTAGCAAGTTGTTGGGAAGACATCATATGCTGACAAACTTATTGTCTTCAGCATTATCTTCAAGTATTGCTTGACTAGTGGATGTTAAATCTGTTCATATCTATTCCTTCTAATTTTATTCTAGCTTTTAAGCATATTTTCTTTCAATAATTAGCTTCATTGCTGTGGAAAGGGGTTGCACCTAGTAATAGAGAAAAATAGCTAAATTAATGGGTTTTGTGTCAGTTGTTATGATGCTTTGGTGTCTCTGGTATTTTTTTGATGATACAATCGTCTTTGGATCGAACAAAGCTGAAGATTTTGAGATGGATGAGTGGCAAGACAAAAAGGGATAGAATTTGAAATAAATACATTCAGGAGAACTGAGGTGTGGCTCCAATAGGTGATAAACTGAGAGAAAGTGGACTTAGATGGGCTGGCCATGTGCAGTGCAGACCCAGTACAACACTTGTTAGGAGGTACAAGTTGGTTCAAGTGGAAGTCTCAAAAAAGGGCAAGGAGTAGGTCCAAAAGGACATGGTTGGAAGTAGTGAGAAAAGATACAGGGACTTATGGCCTCACTGAGGGTATGGCCCTTGATAGAGCAGAATGGCGGATCAGGATTTATGTAACCAATCCTAGGCAAAGGCTCTGATGATGATGACAGTCGTCTTTGAATAGGATTCCACCTTGTGGGTTTGCTCTTCATATTCCATTTCATTGTATCTCACTTTTGGTGTGTCATTACAAAATGAACATTGATAAGTGTAGTCATTTGCAATTAGTGAAGAGTTAGGTGGTGAGAGGCTTAGGTTGTGAGTAGCAGAATAGGTTGTGGGTTTTTATTTGGGTGTATCACTTAGTGTCATCTTAATTATGTAGAAATGTCTATGACTATTATAGAACGCTTTTTTAAAAGTTGCTTATGCTCTGAAATTGCCACCTAGGGTGAAAAAAACTATGGGTCGTCCTCGTCGTTGTCGTCGTCGCCTCTCTCCTCCCCCTTCATACTGGACTCTGATTTATAGCCTTTACCCCAGAACCTCTCCTTCTAACCCTACTCTTTCTTCTTCTTCAACTATTTGCTATCAGAGGGATACTCACAAGGTTACTTTCTCTCAAGTGCTCGTCTCGGCTCCTCCCTCTTGTTCTCTTATCCCCTCCGATGGTGAGCCCCCTCCTCCTCCCTCTACTTCGTGTTCTCCCCCCCCCCTCTCTCCCTCTCCTCTCTCTCTC